AGATGCATCAACACCTCGCATACCGAAGTATTCTAGGAGAAATTTTAGTATATCTGTGTTTGTTTCCGAATGCGTTTGTTTGTAACATACTCAAATCTCCAATAAAGGGACTTCCGGTCTCGCTGAACGCTAAAGAAAATCCCCAGAAAAACCACTGCGCAGAACATGAGTTGGAAAGAAATCGGGAGAGACGTCTGCAATCTGGCAGCAAAAAGCAATTACGTACTTGAAACGACACCACGGCCACTGTCATCATGCTCATATACATCATTGAGAGCGCACTCTGTTCGCCTCAACAGGCCAGAGTAGAAGAACCCGAGTCCAGGTATCATAATCCATACGAACGCGGTCCCTATAAGTATCCACGCAATGTCACCATTTTGGTATACCGTCTGAGCTCCCGATAGATCTGTGTAAATGATACTTCCAGCTATAATGAACCAATTGGAATTGTTATACGTGACAAGAAAAAATCGAAAAGAGATTTACCGCTATCATAGGTAATGTTAACCATGGGAGTAGAAAAGAAACTGCAGGTCCATGAGATCGAAGTGGTTAAAGAATGAAATTCCTTATCGCTTGGACGGACGTCGGAGCCCTATGGAAATCAGCGGATTCAACATTCAATGGAATATTTCCGAACTAAGTAAATGATTCCCGGAAGCCAAGGGAAGGCAGGTAATCTTGGAAATCAGAAGTCCGATGTGCGCCCACGCTGAGCGTTCAACGAGCTCAGCACTGAACAGATACTGGAGATTTCACTATAAGATCCTTGCATCGAACGTGTGTGTAGGGAGATAACGATAACGCGACATCCAATGGGAGAAAGGAACGGCAAACGGCCACAAAGGTTGAGTCAGGCTAGACAGTCATAAACCAGCCGGAATGAGCGCTTGAGTCAGGCTTGAGTACTAGTAGCAGTAGAGGGGAATAGTTCTAAGTTGCAGTCAGGTCAAAACGCAAATAGTTGATTCCTACGTCGGACGACGGCATTTTGACGACGTACGGACATATTTTTTTAGAAATGACTGCATCCCATCGCCCTTTATCCTGTATAAGATCTAGACTGGCAGAAGAACATGGAGGTCCAGCGGCAATTCGTAGAGATTGGTCCACGTGTCCGCCACCGGGTTCCTGGCAGTGGTCGATTCTCCTGTATGCGCGTCTATTTGCCATTTCAAGGGTGGAAATACTTCGCTGCTTAACGCAATGGTTCAAGCTGGATGAAATGGGGGGGCATTCCGCTAGGAGATGGAAAAATGCTCTCTGTCTCCAGTGTGTAAAGTAACGCCGAGTAGCAAAAAACATCTTTCAAAATAGATAGGACTTGAGATCCTTCTTATGATTACATGATCAAGCACCAGCTTAAACTAAATAAATACAATTTTCCTCAGAGAAAAAACATGGCAAATATGAAAGAAGGGGAGGGAAGATGAAATATTCGCGAAGGGTTATTTCATCCTAGCTATACAAATAAGCAACGCCTTCCACGCCGTAACCTACTACACAATCTCTTCAGAAATGATTGTTTTATGCTCTTTGACCGATTCTGAGGAACCGTTCGAGTATGGCATCTCTGTAATCCTCTCTATGTTGACAGATACTGCACCTCTTGAAGTACCACGACGATCCCCGCCATAGTCTTGGTATACTTGAGCCGTGCGATTGGAAGAGGGCAGAGAGCTGAACGAAGAGGTGGTAGTGTTGTATGTGAACTGGGAATCAAGATGGGACCTCTGGAAGGCGACTAGTACAAGAATAACGGTCGGATACATTCCCTAAAGAATAACTCGATCTGAATTGACAGCACGTCATAGCATTGACGGGACTCACTATCGCTTGATTCATGACCATGATGGCATAGTTAGTGTAAGACGTATTCGCAACGCCAGGTATGATTATGATGCTCTTTAAAATCTGTTCACGGAGCGTTTAAGTAAAGGGTAGTCTGCATAATCAAGTAGGAAGAACGAACCCAAAGCACAGTATAGATGATACCGCTCTCCACAAACAGCATCAATGCAGTCTCAGTAAAGGACTTGCGAGAGCCATTTAACATGTGTGCCCAGATCCCCTTTTTCGCTTTCCTAAAGACGATGATCAGACACATCCACAGACCGGCCATCGGTAAATCCAAACGAACCAAGCTCGCAATGCAACCATAAGCGTTGCCCATATGTTGATGGAAAAGGAAAAAGTGAGGGCAATGATGTCGATCTTGAGCTGGGAGGGGGCCAAGAGGTGTAGACTTTTCACACTCGGAAAGCCGACACCAATTTGAGTGAGGTTACATAAAAAGACAGTGCCTAGCCAGGTTATTTGCTGGATTGGGTTTGAAGGTTACAGCGCACTCACTGAACAAAGCCACCATGAAAAATGTAGCTGTTGCTACGATCCGTTTATCCCATTTATATACAACGCAGACTCTCCAACAAACTACCAAGTCGCTCATCATAACCTAGCAGAAACAGTAATAATAATCATGCTTTAGTTTGGAAAGGACCAGACAAGACCTAGCGACTTACGCAAACATTATTAGTTATGGCCTGGATGATACGGAGCAACGTGTTCATAGTATTTTGGTGGGTCAAGTCCTTCGGAGGAGAGGTAAGTTCTCCAGGGATGGTGATCTTGAGGTCAGTCCAAACACGGCGGACATCGATGGCCCAATCTATAGTAGAAAGTGTGTACATCACCAGCGTGAAGGTGACCATCACTTTCTTTGACCGCGAGTTGAGACCTCGAGCTCTACATCCACCATCAGCTTTAGTGAGGACAAATCAATGCAAAAGAAATTACACAAGGACATATGTTGATGTCGACACGAGGAAGGTAAAGATGGCTATAAAAAAGATGATTAGACGAAGATGTATCAGGCTGAATTGAGAAACGTTTACCCCAGATAACAGTTTCCGCCAGGAGAGGAAACACGTAAAAGTCAGTGGTTTCAGCCAACTGTAGACGAGCTGTCTCGATTTCCGTGGCGTTCAGGGACATCGTCAACGGGAAGAGGGTGCTGCTGAGCGAAAATACGTTTCTCCATCTTAAAGAGCATCCGGTGTGAAGGAAGATCCATATAGGTTAACCCTAGTATACTCCTGATGATGCTCGATAAACCCGCGATTGATTCATATTCAAGGTGCACTCGAGGTAGACAACTCCAAGTAGGTAGTATACTTCCCATGACTCTCGTTTCATCTTTTTGGCGCCTCGTTGACTCTACAAGCGTTCTCAGCGCCGTCCTGGCTTTTTTGAATGGAAATCAGAGAAGGCGGTGAAATGCTTCGTCGAGAAGTGCGCTATGCAATATATCAATGTGCCTATCCAACTCAGTGAGCTCCAAATACCGTATCCGCATTCTCACCGAACAATGACCGATTGTATGAGGATCTAGGCTTTGAACTGATTCGATCTCCGTCATCAGCGTCTCGAGGGAATGAACATCCACAAACGCCTAATGTTTCCTGATTGTTTGATTATATACGCTGAAGAAAGGAATACTAAACCCATGATCGGGTGAAGACTTACTCTGAGCTCTTCAAAGTTTTCTGACGTTCGAACAGTTTCCTTCATTCCTATTATTAGTAGTGAGAGGATTGATTGAGGGTTGACGCAAGAAGCCAAGCAGTGATTCGAGCAAGATCGCCGGAGATAGGATTATCTTCGAGTTTGAGCCAGGAAAGGGAGACACCCAAGAGACACCCGTCGTCGTCGCCAATGTGAGAGAGAACCCGACTGATCAGTCGGTCTATAACGCCCCACCGAGCACCCCGCATCACTATTATAGTGCAAAAATTGAAGTAGCGGCCTAGTATGACACCAACGACATAGTACATGCATCGCGCAATACTTCTTCTCCCATTGGGAGCTCCTCTTGAATGATGGATATTGCTGTTCAATTCACTTGTCGACAGGTTCCTCGGAGTCGAAATTTGTTCATCATTCAAGGTGCGACCGGTATACATAATAGGAGACACATACCTACTTCGAATAATATCGCGTTAGTCCTCTGATTTCCTCAGGGAGACGGGTCTCCGTCCAGATCATGAACATCTTTTTTTCCATGGACCGACGTGAAAGTGGAGGAATACTGTAACCTATTCGGTTCGATAAGCATTCCAGGAATTTAAGAGGGGCTCTGATAGATCAGCTTCCTAGCATTTGCCAGTGCTCGTGAAATTGCTACGGCTATTGAAGACCGACCAAGAAATCGCAGGGCATACCAGTGGAACGCCCCAGTACCTCCGAGCTAAGATGACGTTAAACCCCTAAAGCTCACGCGGTACGAGTGACGGAAAGAGCGATGTAAGCAAAGGATTTAAAATCGCACAATTAGGACGGGGAACTAAACATTTTCCTAATCTTGCTCCCACCCATGTCCTCCAACTCTGCTCTTGTCAGCTGCTGAAGCCAAATAATATGTCCGCAGCAACGATTCGACCTCGTCAAATAGCTGAAATGAAAAAAGAAACATCTGGCGAATGCCCCCTGCCAGAATTGAACTAGCAACCTTTTCATCGTTCATGAAAGAGTAGGAAACACGAAATGACACTCCTGAGCTAAGAGGCAAGCACGCAACCGGTAACTAGATCTGGGAGCGCATCATCAAAAGATTAGCAGAATACCATGGTAAAGATGAGGACAAATGATAAAGACAAGGACAAATGAACCGTTTGCTAGCCCATTTGCCACGACCACTCCAATCCTCCCATTAACATTGCAACAATACCCTCTAACAAATGTAGCCGACTCCAAAGACAGATATCCTTCCTCGTGATGCTGCTACTGCCATGAATACGGTATGATCTTGGACTCCGTCGCTGTGGCCACGTCTGATTAGTACCGAAGCCTTCCAACAGCTTCCAGGACAAGCTGGGAATCAGACATTATAACCACTGGAGTACCTTCCTTCGTTACCTCCCTTTAAGCGACGGCCATGAGACCACGTCAAATAACGAATGAATAAGAATCAAAATAAACATCAGAATCGGCCGGACTAGTGCCCCCTGCCAGAATTGAACTAGCGACCTTTTCATCATCAGACTCACAATGGGAAGTACGAGTGAAACGCTCTACCCCTGAGCTAAGAGGGCATGTCGACAGCGTAAACATCCTCATCATCCAAAAATTTCACAAACGCATCGTTGGCTAGTCGGATCCACTCCTTATTAGCGTTACAACAATCAATGCCCTTCGGCAATATGATTCCGACTCCCATGAATGCGGTACGATCCTCGACAGTACAACCGTCGCTGTGGCCACGTCTGATTAATACCGAAGCTGTCCAACAGCTTCCAGGACGAACTGAGAATCGCACATTGTTCTGGTTATAGAATCTTCCCGTCGGTCTAGACAGCGGAGTCGAATGAGCGACAGATGGCGCTGTTCCTGCACCTGTGAATGAAAGGCGGCGGAGGGGCTGCAAGAAAAGAGAATGCTGTTGTATTTCAGCTGCTAGACCATAATAGATATCAGTATCTTTGCGCATTGGAACGTGCTCGTGAAACGTAGTTGTGATCATCGTGATGGAGATAGACGATAGCTTCTATCCTGGGATCGGATACTATGACGGGATTGAGAGTGGGAATTGAAATATTTAGAGTGAGAATAATCAGTGACCAGCACCGAGGACAGAGAGAGCGAGAGCTAGGACAGCTCGTAAAAAAAAGAATGAAACGAAACGAAACAAGCCCATCCGGTTTACCAGAAAATTCCAACCATTCCAATAACAGCTCTAGCTTTCAGGCGGTATACGGTATCGACGCTCGAGTTCAGACCCCTGAAGCTTGAACTCTGTTTCGCAGAGAATGAAATGTCGTGGACTTGAGGGTCGTCTCGGACGGCAAGTTGATGAGGATTTATACAGCTCTGGTTGTAGAGCAGTGAGAGTCAGCCCAGGGAAGTGTATGGATTCCAGAGCGGAATCGGCAGCAGGAATGTTTGTAGCGAATAATACCAGAAGAAGCTGAAGGTCTGCGGTATGATATACCTTAAAGAGGAGGATCGTCAATAATCGGGAAGGGAACAAAGGAAACGATACACGGAATGACACACTATCATCACCGTCTCCGTTATCTCTCAATCCTTTCTCCGCTCTATCTGCTCCAATCGACCGATGGACATGAGAACGTGTTCATCGTCGTGTCTACAAGTATGAGTGAGTTGAGGCAGTGGATGATGAAAGGGGTCTGAATTGTGGACGAAGATAGTTTCGGGTGTGACAGATATGGGAGAGATTTGGTGCAATAAAACAGTACCCAGTGGTGGTAGTTGGGTGGTGCTGGGTGGTGCTAAGTGGTAGGGGAAGCCTGAGCGCCATCTACAGTATGACTCGGATTGTAATCGCATCTAGTCTGGCAGAGCACCATTAGAATGATAGCAACAATGAAGGGGACGGTTCAATCTAGCGATAAGACTAGCGATAAGACATACCTTGAGGTCTTTAGCTTCTCCTTAGGTTTATCAAGCTTCGCGACTATAACTGCCTTGCCTTAACGCTGGAGCTGCGCTAGGATTCTAGGCGATTTCAAAGAATTCAAACATAAGAAATTGCAATGCGGTAGCCTTCGCGTAACAGTAGACTCGAACCAGCCGGCTGCGTCGGCCCGGCGACGTTCGATGAAAGACGATCGAAGTTCGGGCTGGAACAGCCGACTGGTATTTAATCTGGCACTTTTGGCACGGTCGGCTTTTTTCACACGTCGACTTATGAACTTCGACAAATTTTCTTAGCATCGATTATTCAAACTCATGCGTCCAAAATTCTGAAGAGACAGTTTTGTGCAGAATTTTACGGCCATTCAAAAGTATACCTTTATTAAGTGTAATTATTTGAAGCCATTGCTCAAAATTAAATTTACATGTTATCCGCATGGGCGCTTAGTACTTCTAAGCACCCGGCTCAAGCGCTCAAGTGCTGCGTCATCTGGTGACATGTCATCGGTTCAAAGTAATTAGCATCTAGCAAACTCATTTCTCAACATATTCAGATAAAAACAAAAACTTATTCTTCAGCGAAGAAATCCTCAAAAAAGTGTCTCTTCAGAATTTTGGGCGCATGGGTTTGAAAAATCGATTCTCAGAAAATTTGTTGAAGTCAATAAGTCGGCGTGTGAAAAAAGCCGACTAAGCCAAAACTCAAGGGGCGTTCGGCACTTGAATGGCAGACATCATGCACCCTTACTAAAATAGGCAAGGGGTGTCTGATCCGATAATGCGGGTCCGAAATATCCGAGAGAGCGCTTAGTCTATGTGCACTCTCGTAGAGTTCTTAGCGTAGTTCCGCACTTCAGTAAAATGAGATTTGAACTTTTGACTGCCTTTGGCAGCCTCTGGCTGCACAGCGTCGATAATTTGCTCTCTGTAGCTGTTTCATGGCTGTCTTGAATGCTTACGGCGCTTATTTCTGGTCGCATGGTTTTGACAGGTCACGTTAAGCGCATTTTGTCTGCCGTTCTGCTGCCGAATGCCCCTTGCCAAAACTGCCAGATTAAAAACCAGTCGCCGCGTTTGCGGCACTTTGATCGACTCATCATCAAACGTCGCTGCATCCACTACGGCGACTGGCTCGAGTCTAGCGTAACAGCGTCTTCCGAACATGTCACGCGATGATCTAAGCGCACGCTTTCTTTCCTCACCGTCATGTCGCGCGTCCTACTTGCTCTTGTGCATGCTAAATTCTACCTCTATTGCCGATTCCCGACCTTGTAAAGGATCTTTCGTGCCGCTTCTATCCTGATTCCTCGGAGGTCGGACCTCCTTGGCTGTAGTCACTCTCCTCTCGTACTGGCGCCTTTAGATTTTGGATTTTTCTCGAAGTCCATTGATATACGCCATACGACTCTACCATCTGAGGGCATTTCACTTGGTCCGGCAAGGCCGTTCATTAGTAATTTAGTAACCAAGACCATTTGACTTGGTTATGTTCTATCAGTTCACGGCCCCTAACCAAATAGATTGTATACAACTACTGACTTTGAACGCTCGAATTACTTAGGGTCAATTATTGATACGGTCCAATCTCTAAACTCAACTTCTCATTGAGAAGTAGAATGGGAAGAGAATTATCAGGTGGGAGTATAAGTAATAGAGTCCACAGCTTTGGGTATTCAAATCAAAGAGACTCATTGGTCGTCCTGGTGAAGACTCAACGCGAGTCATTGGCTAAAGGAGATGTAGGTGAAGTTGAGAAGAAAAGATGAATGGACTGTCCGAATCGAGGTGTTTACCCATAGTCAATACTGTGGTTAAACGGCGAATGCGCTTGACAGGTGCTGGCAAGGTACAAGGATAAAAGGAAAGATTCAGAGCCGGATTCCGACGTTCGATCAAGGTGATGGAACAATTGTGGAAAGGCGCTTCCAACACAGCGCAAGAATTCCAACGTTGTACCTGAATTCGCCAGACCAAGAATGACTGTATCGAAGTCCAACTCCTTGAATTATGCTTATGTCTGATATCTGCAAATATTCGCCGGCTACTAATTATGGTTACATTGCAAAATAAAATTGAAAATAGGAGGTTGGATGAGAGCCCAATCAGATCATGAGCTCCCGTGTCGATTTTTAATGTTCGAACTACTGTAACTGATGGTTACAATTCCTGGTTTCCTGGTACGCGACTGCGCAAGGGTAAGGATCATCATGGATCATCATCATAACATATTGTACTGCTGGTATAATTTACCATCTGCGCTGATAGCGGTACTTAAAACCGAACAGGGCTTTCAGCATCGCAATCCAATTCCCCTTCAGCACCTTACCAAACGCAGATAATTGTTCCACTCCATATCGACTCATGTCTACTGTATGGCTAATGGTTGATGACGACGATACGACAGATCTCGACTATCTAGAGCCTCATAGTTGGACCCGTGTATCTAGCACCACGACGATGATAGGATCTGGGAAAAGCTTTGATGCAGGAAGCATTCGAGGCCCTGCATATGATAGCACTTTGCACTTCACATCCCAAAATACAAGCATTAATTTTCGGTTTAACGGTAGATATCTGGTGATATATGCTGATTTACATACTCATTCATTATCCAGGATCTTCATTTTTCGGCGTCTACGGATCCCTGGACCTCACTAGCCCATATGGAACACTTCCCAATATCAGTTGTTTGCTTGACGGTTTGTCAGCACCAATATCCGCACAGCATATATACGCTGTGGGCAACACCAACAATAATTATCTCGCTTGTTCTGCCAACTCAGGAGTAGTCAAGTCGAATCCGGGAGAGCATCAGCTCCTAATCACTGTCACAAATTTTGTGAACTCTTCCTGGTATTTTGACTACCTCACATACGAGAGCCTGGCTAATCCACAGCTGAATGGAGAGTTGATACAGGCGGGAAATGCTCAGCTCATCCCATCCGCAGATTACAGTGGGCTCACCTTTGGACCAAACTGGTTTCATCAGGGAGCGGATGAATCGACGGAAACAACTGTTTTAAACTCCAAAGTAACATTTCAGTTCAATGGTAAGTAGTTATTGAAGGCAAACATCACTAAAAACTTAATTGAAATACTGTTCAGGAACTTCCGTATCTCTATATGGCGATTTGGACACTAACATCTCAAATACTGCATCATACCAAATTGATGGCAGTAGTCCAGTCATTTTTCAACTACCAGAAGATGGCATGCCATCAAATACACTTAACAATATCCTCTTATTCAATCACAGTAATCTTAGCATTGGGGAACACACGTTAGTTGTGACCTCCAATGGTAGTAATACTGGAACACCATTGGACATCAATTATTTTCTTGCACAATCACTTACAACAGAAGAACAAGCATCACTTTCTTCTCATCCTTTCACTAATTCCACTGCAACCCCCAATGCACCAACAGGATCCTCAATATCCCATAGTGGGAATGCAAATACAAAGGTGATAGTTGGTGCTGCTTTAGGTGCTGTTTCATCAGTTCTTCTGGTAACCGCAGCCACCTTTTATGGTTCAGGATTAAATCAAGGAAAAAGAAGGAACTTCTAGCTGTCAAATACATTCCATTTTGGGGATATAATCCTGTGAACAGTAATTATTCCGTTTCCTTTTTTGCACACATCATTGAAATTTTGTCA